CATGGATCATTTCTGGTGTTGCTGACGTCACAGGCATTCTAGCACAGGTGCTGTCCTCAAGAATCTCACTGGTATGCTTAAACTCTTCTTGCTAGCCTTCTCTAGATTTACTTAGAAGGCAGAAGGGTAGCCTAGTGGAAAAGTAATTCAAATCACGTGGGATAATAGAACCTCCCCACAGTACTAGGAAGAATAAGGACTTTGGGTGTTTTCCCCAGGGTGACAACATGTTGGATGAAGGCTACTCTCACACTGTCCTGTATGGCAGGAGAGACAACACACACATTGTATCATTCAACCTGAAGCTCTGGAAGAAGATAGTATCATGTCATCTCATAACATTTTGTCCCCATGTCATTCATGAACAATGCCAAAATCCATTCAAAGGCCGGTTATCATCAAAACCTATCAAACATATGCCAATCATCTTATATAAGTCAAACAAAAAAACTCCCTGTATTTCTTGAATATATTTAAATACACATTCATTTTTGATAACTACCCATGAAGGTCCGGGTTAGAATATTGATCTTCAGTAACCCACTCTCGCTGATTTGGTTGACACATGTCATCGGTTCCCAATTGTGCAGATCGATACTCATGCTGTTGATCACTGGATTGTCTGGTCCAGACTCTTATTATGTACAGACTGCTGCGATAGAGCTGGAATATTGCCAAACTCACTCACTCATTTTTGATAACAGAAGAAATTTTATATTATTCAAAAGATTTGTCTTTCTGCAGCTAAAGATACAACCTTGTCCACATATCTGGGTTTATTCATCTGTTCATACATCTTTGGGACATTATATAGAATGACGTTTTCCCTTGGAGAAGCAAGTCCACTATGGACATGATTGGGACTCCCCTTGATGTCATCCCCCTGTGGCCAGTAACACATTCTCCATCCCCCAACCTCATTCTGAATCGCGCTACACCCTCCTCAAACCATTGTTACAAAAACATATTATAAAACTCGCACAAATGGGAAAAGTTTTCAGATAACACTCTGCAATCTCTCTTCCTTACGGAAACCTTCAACACTCTCAAGCATGCATGAATTTATGTGTCTTTTTCCCCGTTTACAGATCTGAGCTTTGATGTACTTTACAACACAATTTACCACCGCTGAGAAAAGCAACCTTTTGAAGTGTGAGACAATGAAATTAGGTGCCATTTGGCCTGGTTCTAGCTTGTTAGGCTCAGTGGATTAAGGAAGCTCATTGTGAGAATGACTGCACTAGGGAAACTAGTTACGGGGCCAATTATTGTATCCTGTCTGGCATTACCTGAAGCCCTCTATGACACCATACTGTCCACTTTATTGCTAATTCATGTATCCAAGTTAACAGAATTCTGAAATGACACCTGATAGAGAACTCTATTTCCAAGGCATTCACGAACCCATCCTAAGCTGGCCACAGCCATTTAGATATAACATTGTGGATAAAAATTCAATAATTCTTTACAGCCTATTCATCTGGGGTCTAATATGTTGAGGAAGCACTTTATGGGCACCTTGTGGCGAAGTGTGGACCGATAGGGAAATCTGTGTGTCGGTCTCGTGTGGAGAGTATTAGGGTCACATCCAGACGTTGTCGTCGACAGCTACAATCTCGGGCTGCTAGACACACAGGATCAGACCTATGGATACAACTCAAGAGGTTTCCTAAGTAATGGAATACCTCTTCTTATTCCAGATATACATACCATTTTCCCTTATGCAATAAATCAACAGTTTGCTTTTCTTGTAATGAATGATAGCGCTGAGAGAATAGTTTCTGAGTCTTCTCAGACAGCAAGTAGCTCACTTGGATGGATCAAATATAACCAGCTGTCAGACAACATTTGACAATGCTCAGTCAACTATCTTCATTGTTTATGGTGCAGTTGACTGAGTGAGTTTGAATCAATGTCATTGTGAACAGTATATGACTGGATGTCACCTGGATGCAACAAGGAAGCCAGAAGTGATCATATAGACAATAAGACCATAAAACAGAATCATGGAGCCGCTCCCATATTAGGGGTAAATTACTCTTCACCTGATCACAGACAATAAAACAATAAAACAAAACAGAATAATGGAGCCACTCATATATTGGGGACAATTTAATCTGCACCTGATTATAGACAATAGGACAATAAAACAAAACAGAATCATGGAGCCACTCCCATATTGGGGACAAATTAATCTTCACCTGATCACAGACAATAGGACAATAAAACAAAACAGAATCATGGAGCCGCTACCATATTGGGGACAATTTCATCTTCACCTGATCACTGACAATAGGACAATAAAACAAAACAGAATCATGGAGCCGCTCCCATATTGGGAAGAATTTAATCATCACCTGGTTACTGACAATAGGACAATAAAACAAAACAGAATCATGGAGCCGCTCCCATATTGGGGACAATTTCATCTTCACCTGATCACTGACAATAGGACAATAAAACAAAACAGAGCAATGGAGACACTCCCATTTTTGGGACGATTAACCTTGCACCTGACTGACTGTTGACAAGCACAATGGCAGACAGGAGCGTTATATGTGGACAGTCAATCAGTTTAGATCAATATGAAGTTTATTCCTGCTCACATCCCCCCAATCCTGGTGTAATCAGATCAATGGCACTGTTGGATGCAAAACCAATCAATGCTGGATCCATAACATTTAATTCCCTGGTAGGCAACTTTTTTTCTTCCTGTATTGTTGCCAGAGTATGTGTCGATAAATCCTAAATCTCTTGTTTATTATAGTAATTAGTTTTGGGGAAAACTGAATAGGATTTCATCCTGCAACTGACCACAGTGTCATTGGAAATCAATGTCTGACAAACAGACTCTTTGCCACGTCTGCTTTTAGATATATTTCCATAGTAATGTATCATATACAGACATCAAGACAATACAACAGGACGTGTGTGAAGTCACACAATAGATTCTCAACAGTACAAAGGTTTATTTATCCTATCTGGATCGTGATCTGAAATAACAAACATCACATTTGCCACACATCCTCAGAATCTTAAAAGCTTTACAGTTATTGACCAGAGGATCAACTTGAAACTCAATTCAGACTTTAATTGAAAATAAAAAACAGGGAAATTGGAGTAAAGTAGCGTTGGGAAAGTTCAAGATGCATGGTGTGTCAGGAGTCTGGCAGTCCTGGGATGCAATAAAGACAACATCATCGCTGCCTGGCAAGCAAGAAAAGCCTCACGTTCAACGATAACATCACGCCTGTCAATCACTTTGACATGGAACGTCCAACCAGCCTCGTGACAGTCAGGAATACGTTTTCAATGCATACCAAATCAAATTGTCTCTTTTTCCTGTTCACTTGAAGAGTCAAAACATTCTCTGAGTACTTGAACCAGCATCCAACACAGGCAGTCAATAAGAACGGCAGCAACCACACGTTTTTATCATGTCAGACGTTTCTGATTTATCACCCTTTTTGCTCAATTTATCTCCATTTGTGTTCGTGCAAACAGTGCAAGAATCAAGCAGTGATAGTATCTCCCTGTGTTTTTTCTTGCCAATCGAGGGCTTCTTGCCCTGTTCAGCTTTCTCAAGGATTTGGACACACAGTGTTTATTCAACGATATGAATATGTACACAATGCTGTTGAAGCTACTACTGTCCACACAACATCGTCCAATTATGACTCTATACAAAGCATACCATTCTTGACTTTACATTTCTCATTGACCCTAGCTCTGATTACAAATCTGTTCAAAATCTTTGAATAATATCATGTACTTGGATTCTTGATTTTGTAAAGAAAACAAATCTCTGTGTGCATCTGAATAAAAGTTTCATTCTGAATTCAGATGACCTCCCTAATCAAACACATCGGCAAAATGGTATTTTGGTGAAGTTTCCACCACATGGATCTGATAATGAGGTTCATTCAAAACGCCTAACAATTCTAAACATGTTCCTGGGACTATGAAAATATTTTGCTTGCATCAACTTCTGGTTTCAATTCAGAAACTACAAGCACATGAAAGAATTGAAATTCAAGTAAACATTGAAGGAAAAGATTTGAATAATAAATTTCCATGATTTACAGAAATTTGCATGTTAAATACATCACTATCATCCTCCCAAAACATCTCATAGCTTCCAGTTAAAACATAAATTCCCACCAATTTCACCACTGAGTTCGTTACTTGTACATCTCAACTCCAATTTTGACTTGCAAGCAAATCATATTATAACACACTTCAGATAGACATATTTTCAACATGTATTGTAATTTGATATAAAACGTCCAGACATGAAAATCCATCTTTAAAAAGCCATTAGTTCCTCAGAGGCTTTAATCATTGCAAAATGTTTTGGCTGTCCAGATTTAAAAGTATACCGGGGAATCCAATTACAATAAGTCAATTTTGACTTGTTCATCCTTGTCTGTTGGACAAAGACTGGCAGATCTCTCTGGCCAGGCTCGCCCAGATCTGGATGTGCTTCCCCCTCTCACACAATTCTGATGGACAGGTAATACCCAGTGACGCCCACTATGAGTGGAAACACAACAGGAAATTTTTTAAAGACTTGAAATAATTTAGTTCTGCTGCAAGACAAATCTACTTTCGTCTGGAGATGTATTGACAATGTATGTAATATCCCTCTGAAATCTATCAGCATTTCTTGTCATATAAATACTGCCTTTCTTCAGTTCAGTAAATCACTGACTGTGTGGCAGCCCATTCTATTAGGCAGAGAAATAATCAGAACATATATGAGCAAGATTTGCTGAAAACTGTTGACAACCAAACAAGGCATCTGGACACACTGATGGAGGGATAACCCCAAACTAAACATACATCCTGTAACTTCTTAAACCAAGAACTGACAGAATGCTGCTTCTTAATGATGTTTTGGCCTTGTACCACACACATTCATAAATGTATATTTGCAGTTGAAATGAAACATCTTCATCCTGTCTTTTTATAACCATATGGGGAGAGCAGAAGTGGCTTACCTTGATCTGATTTTGACATGCTGACAGGGGCAGGCCGACCAGACTGATGCCATTGATGGAGATGATCTGGTCACCAATGTTGAGCTGACCACAGCGTGCTGCTGGACCAGTAGGCATCATGTTGGCCAGGACCACTGTCGGCACCATGGATCCCCAACCAGACTCCACGATGACAACACCCAGGGGTTCACCTTTTGTCTTTGGTACTATCACCTGGAAAAGGGGACAGAAGTTAAATACTGACTGACAAGTGAAAAGTGGTGTTGAGATTTTTAAAATCATTGATATAGGTGCAAACGTTGTACCTTTCTCATGTGAAACATGGGGACGATGATGGTAATTTAATCAGTATATGATAGGTAGGTGAGTGAATCCATTCACATGGAAAGGGAAAGGACTGGGATGGTTCTTTCACTGAAGGAAAAGTTTGGTAACCTAGCCATTAAACCCTCAAAGCCATGCCAAAAGCCAATGATTGATTCCTCCAGCAGGTACAGTGAGTGAGGCCAATATTGGTGTCCCCCATCAAAACATTGCTGGAGTGATTGAGTTGTTTTTTAACATTGCTTTGAACAGTATTCCAGTAATAACACAGCCTGTCGGCTTCATATGTAAATACAAGTGACAAAACCCTTTCCACATCTAAAACAAACACTGAAAGTGGTGCAGGTTCAAGGGGTTTACGACTTTTGTGTCGCCCATCAGGAAGGGCATGTTGCTAACAGACCTGGAAACATAATCAGGGGAAAGGATACTGCTAAAAGTCACATAAAACCACACTTACTTACTCTTTCAAACTGGAAGATTCTATAAGCAGATGGACTGATGGGATTCTGTTTGCAAATGGGATAGATAAGTAATGACGTGGATTCATTTACATGGAATGGATTGAGAACGACATAAGTCTTCCAAGTATAATGGTGGAAAAAGGTGGTTCTTCCATGAAGGAAGACTGCGGAATAAGAAGGTGCTTTAACATGTGAGTAAGTGTTTGAGTCTAGTTTTATGCTGCACTTAGCAATATTCCAGCTATATGGCGGCGGTCTATAAATAATTGAGTCTGGACCAGACAATCCTGTGATCAACAGCATTAGCATCGATCTACGCAATTAGGATACGATGATATGTGTCAACCAAGTCAGCGAACCTGACCACCGGATTCCGTTAGTCGTCTCTATCAACAAGCATAGGTTACAGAAGATCAATTCTAACCCGGATCTTCACAAATCGCTTTAACATGTACCTCTTTGTGATAATCCTTGTTGGCGAACAGGTTGAGTTCCTCCCCATAGATCTCCTGTTGGTTGAGGACATCCTGGTAGTCCATCTCCTTCAGGATGCCCGGGTCCTCGATGCCATTGGCCTTCAGGAACTCCATGTAGGCCACCTGGAAGGCCTGCCCGATGGACTGGGCTATCAGCTGGGCCTGCAGCACAAAACACACACTGTTACAGTAAGCAACACAAAGGAATCGTTTTTTAAAAATGTATTATTCTTTCAACATTGAAATTATGTCTTCATTTGGAACCAGATGTACCTGTAAGGAAAAGAAATTTGTCCTCAATAGAAAGAATTAGACAAGGATATATTACCCACTGTTCTGAGAAAGGATCATCTTATGTATACATCATAAAGCTGTTGTTTGGAGAGTTCATATAAATGAGGAATTCTTTTCAAGAATGTTTGAGAGGCATACTACCAACAAATACAAAGGTAAGAAAGTAATGGAATGGATAGGGAAAAACAGGAAGTCTTTTGAACATGAATCTATTTAAAGATACTATAACGTATGGTGATAGATCTTATTTGGCGAGTGACTCCCTCACAAGGATAACCAAGAAGTTAAAAATGGAATTATCCTCTTCCACTCCTTTCAGACATTTTCCTGTACTGTAACAAGCTTCATAGGGATGTAAAAGAAAGTAAAAACTTCAATTGTCAGTCATTAGAACACAGACGTTCTGAATAACATCTCAGATTTTATTTGTACCTTAAAAGTTTCAATGTTTATAACCTTTCCTTTAATCTAGAGACAAATCTCAATGCCTTTAGAAGTGGAGATATAACAGCATGCAACCTTTTCAAACAAGTAAAGATCAGACAACTTCATGATTCAGTTTGTCGAATGGCCAAACTGTAGCCATTCTTATTCCACAATTACTAGTTCAGTAAACCCTGATTGTTTTAAGGCCATATACAACCAAAGACACATATCAGCTAATTCAGTTAGTAGCACTTAGCAGTGTCCTATAGGGTATTCTCTGTCTGCAGTTTGTGGGTTCATCCAATTGTAGTTGGCATCATGATAGTTTGTTATTCTTACATCTATCTTGCCTGACTGTGTGCAGTTAGGTGTAAACATTACAAGTATTTCACATTCACCAGTTTAACAAGTGGAAAACACACTTTCCAAATGCAAACTTGCGTAGGCATCAACCAGAAAAGATCTGAAGAAGACCTAACCTAATGATTCTGTTTGCTTCAAAGCATGCTCCAGAAAACATAGCTATACTTGTAATTGCTCCTGGCATTGCTTGCAGTGACAGGAAGCCTGGCAGCTTCCATGCTGACATTAGCTTTTATAAACCCAACACATTGCAACTGTCATGCTTAAACTTAATGGCAGTGTCTATATTGTGTGAAACAATTCATCCTCCCATACCAAACACTGTCAATGTTCAGCTGCCAAACACTGTCAATGTTCAGCTGCCAAACACTGCCAATGGTCAGCTGCCAAACACTGCCAATGGTCAGCTGCCAAACATTGTCAATGTTCAGCTGCAAAACACTTCTTGAGATTGTCCTGGTCAGCTTCCAGTCACTCAAACATGAGGTTTTGGTTTGGTTCACAAATACTTTGTATATTATTTATTGTTGGTACAGTCATCACCCAGGGGCCCACGTATTCATGATTAGGATCCCTAAAATTATCACTGAAAGACCAGAAGACTCAGACAAAGATTCATAGATCCACGTAAACCCCTGGTGAACAATCTCATCTTCTGAGACAATGCAAACAGTCACAATAACCTTTCTCTCTGGAGAAGGTCAACATGAGTTTTAAATTAGTTAAATTCAGTTAGATTTCCATAAGTTTTTTTCCTTTGATTGCATTACATTGTGATCAGCTTGTAAAACACATTTAGCTACGTGAGGACAAAAGGGGTTTGTAGCCTGCGGTATACATTCATTAGAAAACATTCAACAGGGGAAAAACATACTGAATTCACAAAGCCTCAGGCTAAACAAAGAACAATGATTTTCATGTTTTGTCAACAATTCCCAAAACAACACTTCTTAAGTTCTTTAACCAAACAGATGTCCAACTGCGTCGGCATCACCGGATCAAATCACAAGTGCTCATGCTGACTACGGGAGTAATGCAGGCAATCTTCTTCCCAACACATGTTTTCCAGTAGTATACATACTTAATTTTAACTTTTGATGGGGAGGTACATACTTAATTAACATAAAATTAATATATATAGTATTATCTACATGGTATTTTTTAACATTGAAAATGTGTGCAAAGACGTAGCACCACGTTCTGGACACTGCTTCCGCCGATAACAGGTACTTGATAATGCTGAACTTCCCACCACCCACAGGAAGAAGGGATCCCGTCCTTACATGCAACAGTATCATCACCAGCTGATCTGCCATCGCTGTCACCTCAACACACACATAATGGGAAGTAAACTCATTTCAACCATTAATCAATTTCAAATCAATCACTGTTAATTACATTTACTTTGTGTGACTGAGAACAATACCGACCTTAGTGCTTCCCTAGGCCAGGTTTTACAACCAAATCCCTCCATCTGCTCACTTGAGTAAACTCTTACTGCAATTTTAAGTGATGTGGGCCATCAAAATGGTATTATGTTGACACCCGATATTAGATCCAACTCAGATAAACACATTACTTCTAGTCAGATCTTGAAATGCACAGCTGAACATGTTAATTTCACTCTTTTCCACCGATGCAGGATGTCGATATCATCTGTAAACATTACACCATCCATGCATTCTCTTTCCATGCTAAAAAGACTAACTTCAAAGAACCTGGTGTACAATATCCATGGCCATTGAATGGCAATTATCTTCAATAAGGCTGTCAAATACATTTTGAAAGATTGGAGATTATACTACCATAGCAAAAAAAACTGCCCCACATTCAAAACCTGCCCTACATCTTAAACCTGAACTACATCTTAAACCTGCCCCACACCTTAACCCTGAACTACATCTTAAACCTGAACTACATCTAAGCCCTACCCAACATCTTAAACCTACCCTACATCTTAAACCTACCAGACATCTTAAACCTGAACTACATCTTAAAGTTACCCTACATCTTAAACCTGCCCCACACCTTAACCCTGAACTACATCTTAAACCTGAACTACATCTAAACCGTACCCTACATCTTAAACCTGAACTACATCTAAACCCTACCCTACATCTTAAACCTACCCTACATCCTAAACCTACCCTACATCCTAAACCTACCCTACATCCTAAACCTACCCTACATCCTAAACCTGCCCTACAGCGTAAACCTGCCCTACACCTTAAGGATGCACCAAATTCAAACCTGCGTTCATGATGTGAATCATCTGACACATTGTCAGATTAAAAACATTGATGCACCTTGGTAACCAACAAAATGTGAGGTGAGGTGAGGTGAAATTGGGTTTGACGTCGTGCTTGGGAATATTTCGCTCATATGACGACGTGCATGCGCGTGTATGTGTTTGTGCAGCTGCTTGTACTAGCCCAGACTTAAGCTGGTTTTATAGTGCTAGCCCACTGAGATACCATGCCACAGTGAAGCATGAATACCCCACTCAGACAGAATTACTAACTGACTCCGAGCCGACCAGTCCTTGTTGTACCCATTAATGCAGAACGCCAGGCAGGGACCAACAAGTACCATATTTTAACGTCTTTTGGTATGACGTGGTCGGGGATCGAACCCACGACCTTCCGCTCTCCGGGCGGACGCTCTAACCACTACACCACGGAGGCGGTCCCAACAAAATGTTATCAACATACTTATCACAAGATACAGGTCAATTCATGTTATGTATAGTAGTTTAACTGGATGATACATTAATGTTTCAATGTTAACTTTGTGTCTGCAATGCCTCATGGCAAAAGTATAAACAGAGTATCATGTCACAACAATCAGAACCATAAAAGAAGATGCTGACATTTTGACAACATCGTGATGGCATACAGATCCACATCGCTTTCATATTAAGAATGAATAGGACATCAATGTCAGATGACCAACAGAATCAGGAACTCTTTAAAGCAACATAAAGGTACCTACGGCTATGCTGAGACCACCCATCGTCACGTAGCTAGCTTTGCAAGATTCCGCAACCATCTTGAAATCCTTTCAATATGACAACTGAACACCTACAATGGACTGGCATTATAAGGTGTTTATTTATATCTCAGTGCCACTGACATTTACATGACTCAATCTGCAAGTACAATAAGACACCAAGGACAGGGCATTACTGAACTAATATACATTGTATCAGGTCTATCAACCTTCACATTTCTAGGGCAACAGCAGTAGGTGGTATCATTGGGGTAACTTTGCCAGGTTGTGGCTTTAAACCACAATTGTGTATTTTTCATCATTTCAAGTACTGTATATTCTTTATGAAGCTCATTTGTTAAAATATACTTAAAAAAGATGAGAAAATTCATATTTGGCATATAACTACTTAAATTGGAACAATATGCATTTTATTAAGCCTTATTGATATTTCTTACCAGCAGGTGTTCAAATTAACAGTGTACAGAATTAAGGAACAGTGAGTGAGTGAGTGAGTTTAGTTTTATGCCACTTTTAGCAATATTCCAGCAATATCACAGCTGGGGACACCAGATATGGACTTTACACATTGTACCCATGTGGGGAATCGAACCCGGGTCTTCGGTGTGACGAGTGAACGCTTTAACCGCTAGGCTACCCAATCGCCCCTCTAAGTAACAAGTACATACACAATCATGAACAGTTGGTACATCTTGACAGCCTGCTACATTCCAGAATTTTATATTAATCATATATCTCTTGTGTAGTATATGTTATTTGAACTATCAGCTGTAAGACATTCCAGTCATATGATGACAGCCTATAAATAACAGTGAGAACCAGACAAACCAGGAATTGACATTAGGAGAAATATCCAAAGTCATCGGGGTACAATGGCACCAATTAACCAAGCCTGCCCACTGACACATAAGATCATTTACAACAGACACAGGTTCGACTCATCATGCCCATTGCTGATGTATGGAATCGTGCACTGTATTGTTGCCACAAAACGGATCAGTACTATAGCTGCTTCCGCATAAAAACTTAATATATCATGTAAAGGATAACAAAACGTCTACAAAAATAAC